TGTCGGGGAGGGTGAGGTATGCGACAGTGAGAGCAAATGGTGCGAGGGAGTAGTGAATGCTCTTTGTTAGAAGTTTGTTCAGAGTGTAGCGCCCCAACATGTTTGTTTTCTTGATATCGTAAAGTGAGGACTCCTGGGACCTCACATACGGGTTTCTCAGAGGGTAGCGTCCCGAGAGGGAATGGGGCGTAGTGAGGGTGAAGGCGGACGTCGACCCTCACTACGCAGTGAGGGTCAAGGCGGACATGGACGTGGAGGCGTTTTACATAGAGAGCGAGGACGAGGCGGTCAGTCGTCCTCTTGGCTGAGAGCGAGGACGATGTAGAAGCCACCGAGAAGAAGGCCGCCAAGGTTCTGATCTAAATTTTCTCAATTTCCAAGACTCCACCCTTTCCAACCGCTTCCAACCCCTTCTTTGAACCTCTTCCAACCGCTTTCAACCGTTGCAGGTGGCGCCTGTGGGTGCAGCCATCGCCATCCTGGCGGAGAGCGAGGACGATATGGAGGCCGCCAAGAAGAAGGCCGCCAAGCTCGGCGGTTCTGACGGCGCCGCTGCTGCTGCTCCTGCTGCACCGGCTGCGGCCGCTGCTCCTGCGCCTGCTGCCGCCGCCCCCCCTCCCCCTCCTCCTGCCCCTGCCGCGCCTGCTACCCCTGGGAAGGTGGTTGCGACGCCCGAGGCAAAGAAGCTGGCGAAGAAGCACAAGGTATGATGCAATACACACACGAGGTTCACACCAACACAGTTGCAACGGTTACCAGACAGACATACATCACCTCCTTCACCCACTACCACCTGTCCCTCCTCTGTTTCCTCACTTTCTTCAATCGTTCCCGTCAGCCTTCCTCGTCTTTCCTTTGCAGCAGCAGGCTCAGCTGGCCGCATTTTCCTCTTCCTATCCCCCTCTTTCACTCCCTCACTTCCGTCCCCTTCCGCCCCTCCCTTCCATCAGGTTGACCTGGCCAAGGTAGCGGGCTCAGGTCCCTACGGCCGCATCACCCCCGACGACATCAAGAAAGCAGCAGGCATCGCGACCGCCCCTGCTCCCACCATCGTCGCTCCTGCTCCCGCTGCCGCCGCCGCAGCTCCTGCCGCTCGTGCTGCTGCTGCGCCTGCAGCCGCGGCAGCGCCACTGCCAGCGGGGGCGTCAGTGGTGGCGTTCACGGCGATGCAGGGGGCGGTGGCGAGGAACATGGAGGCCACGCTCGTTGTGCCCACCTTCCGCGTCGGTTACACCGTTACCACCGACGCCCTTGACGCGCTGTACAAGCGGGTGAGTGTGTGCATGGCCCTTGCCAAGCACCCCATAGTGAACGCCATGTGCAACCCCATAGTGAACGCCATAGTGATGGGAAGAGCTTCCTCTGTTCCCACTGCATCCATCCTGTTCTCTCTCCGCTCCCCCCTCCCCTTCACTGCTCTCTCCGCCCCCCTCACTTTACTGCTCTCTTCTCCCTTCTTCCCCTCACTGCCCTCACTGGTCCACAGGTGAAGGGCACCATGATGGCCCTGCTCGCCAAGGCAGTGATCTGATCATGGCGCTGGCCAGCCGCCCCATTGTGAACGCCGCGTGCAAGGACGGGAAGAGCTTCCACTACCCCACCGCAACCTTCCTGCTCTCTCTTCCCTCACCTCTCACTTCTCTCACTCTCTCTCCTCCTCCCTTTACTGCTCTCTTCCCGCTCTCCCTCCCTCCCTTCCCCTCACTGCTCCATCGCCTACAGGTGAAGGGCAAGGGAGTGACCATGACGGCGCTGCTCGCCAAGGCAGTGGGCATGGCGCTGGCGAGGCACCCCATTGTGAACGCCGCGGGCAAGGACGGGAAGAGCTTCCACTACAACGAGAGTGTGAACGTGGCGGTGGCTGTGGCCATGGATGGCGGGCTCATCACGCCCGTGCTCAAGAACGCGGACCAGGTAGGAAGGAATGATGAGATGGGGTGAGAAAGGGTCTTCATGTAACCACCCTTTCTCATCTGACGTTGTTTCTCTTCCTTGGTCCACAACTTTCCACGTTGCTCAATCTCAGTTCCCAAATTTTGTCCCTCATCCTGCTCCTCCAAGAGCGCACTATCATTCGTGCCTCCTACATGCTCCTGTGGGTGTATCCTCCTGTACACCTATTTTTGGGTATACAAACACACCCACACCCCACTCCACTCCGCCTTCCCCCTCCCCCCACCCTCCCATGGTGGTTCCACAAGGACCTGTACACGATGGCAGTGGAAGGAGCTGGTGGACAAAGCACAGAAAAACGCATTTCGTCACACACACACTACCCCATCCCACCCCACCTCATTCCACTGCTATTTCTTCCCCGTAGCCCGTGCACACGATGTCAGGGCAGTGGAAGGAGCTAGTAAGTAATCCATGGTGACACACAGTTCCTCGCACACTTAGCCCGCCCCACCACACTCCACCCGGGTTTAGCCCCTCTTTTCTCCCGTTTACCCCCTTTCATCATCCCAGACGGATCTGTTCACGATGTCAGGGCAGTGGAAAGAGCTGGTGGGCAAGGTACTTCAACACACAGTTTTCTACACAGCACCCTTACCGCACTCCACCTCTCTCCACCCCTCTCTTCTCCCCCTTACACCTCTTCATCATCCCAGACGGACCTGTTCACAATGTCAGGGCAGTGGAAGGAGCTGGTGGGCAAGGCACGGAGGAAGGCCCTGAGCCCAGGCGACTACAGCGGAGGTGAGAGAGGCGGACATGAATAGGGGTGGGGAGGTGTGGAGAAACTAACAGCAGGAGGGCAAAGTTAGGCAGTGAGAAGGGAGACGGGAGGAAGGAGGGCAATTGGAAGGGGTGGGAAGGGAAAGAGGAGAACTGGATGGAAGGGGAATGGAAAGAGGGGGAAGGGCAGGAGGGGGGAAGGCCTAAGTGAGAGGCATGAAGTGGAGGGTTGGGGAGTGAATTGATGTTGAGGCAATTGGAAGTGGTTGTTAAAAAGGGGGTGTACCAGTTGTGGTATAGGCTACGGATTGTATTTTTTTGGCTTATGGTGTGCCTTGTTATAGCTTCCTTGTTATCCAATCATCGGTGTGCTTCTCTCCTTCGCTGCCTCTCCTTCCTGCTTGTCTCTCCTTCCAGGAACCTTCACACTGTCCAACCTGGGCATGTTCGGCGTGGATCGGTTTGACGCCATCCTGCCCATCGGCCAGGTGAGACAGTGCTGACCGCGTGGACTGTGTGGGCCATGTGCGGGGGAATGTGAGAGAGAGTGGGGGGTTCTTTAGTCAGAATGTTTGGTGTGGATTGGTTTGACGCCATCATGCCCATCGGCCAGGTGAGACAGTGCTGACCGTGTGGACTGTGTGGGCCCTGTGTGGGGGGATGTGAAAGTGTGTGAGAGTAAGGCATGTGGGAATGAGAGAAGGGGGAATGAGGGAGGGTTTAGGTGTGATGCAGTGATAGTTGAACCAACTGGAAAGGTTCTCATCAGATCCTTTCCTGCTCACTTTGTCAAATTCTCATCATCTTAAAGAGTGTATTGCACATGTATTGAAATCAATATCTTTGGCAGGGTGCGATCATGGCCGTTGGATCATCCATCCCAACAATGGTGGCAGCAGAGGATGGCAGCTTCGGCATCAAGAGGCAGATGCAGGTCAGTCAATTGATAGTTAGGGTTGGTTGGGTTGGTTTGTGAGGTTAAGAGTGTGCGGAGCCATTGGGTAAGGTGCACATTAAACGTGAAGTTGACTGATGTTCTCTGATTGCTTTTTCTAGTGTGACAAGTGCATCCATTACACTCTCTCCACTAAGCTAGTACGGTACCTCCCTCTGCATTGCACAGGTGAATGTCACGGCGGACCATCGGATCATTTATGGCGCTGATTTGGCGGAGTTCCTCCAAACTTTCGCTAAGATTGTGGAGGACCCAGATCAGCTCACCTTGTAATAGCCGATGGTTCAAGAGTAATTCTATTTTTGAATGAACGTGGAATAGTGAGTAGGTAGACAAGCTTTTGCAAAGCCTCTGAAATGAGTGAACACTAGTGCAGGACTAATTTTTGGCAGTTCGTGAAAGCTCAAGATCTGGGTGTATGGTATGCATCTGAAATAAGTTCCAATGCCATTACTGTACCTTTTCATTTCAATCCTTCAATGACACGGAGATTTGAATCCAGCCTTTCGGACACTGCCACGTGAAAAGCACCATGGTCCGCGTCAGCTGGAGCTCTTTTCCAAGTCGTGGTGGCATGATATTTTACTTGCTGACGCGACAGGGTCTGTCCAGCATAACCAGCTCCAGCCAATCAGGCACAAGTGTGCAGAGCAGAAGCACAATAGACCGCGACGCCTTGAAAAATCCGCCTCCTAATCCACGCATATAAAACGGTACAGTCCGCCTGTGTGTGTTACAGTGGAAGGACAAAACGGTACAGATGGTAAATGCGGTTCAAGCAGGCAGCCCTCACCTTGATTGGCTCTCACTCTCAATGCTTCTGGTACTTGCCCCACAACGCCTTCTCCTTTCCCTCGGGCATTTCCCAAATTTCCCATCCATTTTACACAATTTCATGTTGGATTTGGCTTCAGCAATCTATGTCAGCCGAACCCCAAGTTTTCGCATGAAATAACGGTGATATTTCGTTACTCGTTCTCTCATTTCGGTAAGACTCAGAAGTCCGTCCTACGTGAACCTCGCAAGACTAGGCGCAATGTGTATGAGCCTCAACCTCGCTGCTTCTTTTATTTCGGGAACAGCCGGAACGGCCTTATCACGTCAGCTTCATCCCCTCGCTCCGCACCCTTCCTTGAACTCCTGCTTTCTCCCGACATTACACCCTTCTCTGGTAGCACCTCGCCAGTCTTTCAATCAACGGCACAATGCGACACGTCAGCCGTGCCACGTCACCCGTTCGCGCCGTTGCACGGATAGCAGCTCTGGTTCGGTTCGCGCTCCGTCACTTCTTCGAGCTGTCGCCCAAGGTTCAGATGGCTCCGGCGACGTCGCACAAGCTCCTAGCGACGTCGCAGAGGTGCTGGGCGGCATGACTGGTTACGAAACGCAGTTTTCTGCGGACACGGGAGCCCGGGTTGTGGCGGTGGTGGGTGCTGACGTGGTGAGCCCGTACGGCGGTGCCACGTGGGACGAAGTGATACGACAAATGGTGAGTCAAGGGTATCTTGTGTGACCCTCCAGTAGTAATATCCCGTTTGGTCACGACTAAAATTAAAACCAACAGTAATATCCCGCATCTCACATTCTGGTAACGAGCGAGTGATGGAGGAAATTATATCTGTATTTGTAACTGTATTTGCTACACACGTATGGGAGTGGACGGAACATAAGGAGCTTTTACACATGGAAAAGAGGAAAAAAAGAAAAGAAATTCCGAATCCCATTACAGCTTCATGGGCTTTATCTGGAACGTATAGCCATCCTTCCACCACCATCACCAGGCGTTCTTCCGTCCTCTGATGATTCACCCATGGCATAATCTCATCATTACGCTCCACATTCCCTCAGCTCAGCATACACCTCTCCCTCAACATTCCTGCATTGTACCGTATCCTTAGTCTACTCTAAAGACCGATCCTCCTCTCCTCTTCTTTCAAAATATCTTTATAAATCTCGATTTCGCCATCCCCCGCTTTCGTCGCTTCCTTCCTTCATTCAACTCCCAACACCCCGCCACCCAACCTCTTCCATTCTCTCGTTTCCCCAGGCTCGCAGAGTCAACTGGGTGGAACCTTCCGTGCAGCTTCTCGTCTTCTCCTCCTCGTCCCTCTCCCCCTCCTCCTCCTCCCACTCCCTCTTCCTCTCTGCCGCCCAGCAAGCCGATCTCCTATTGGCTGTCGCCGTGAACAGTGCCGAGTCCGCCGCCCAGCTCGTCCCTATCTTTTCAGCCGCCCCTGCCCGGATGGCCTTTGACTGCCACGTGTCGCTCTCTGAGCTCACCTCGCTGGGCGGGCTGAACCCGGAAAAGCTGAACCTGCCCCAAAAGCTCGCAGCAAAATGGGGATGGTGGAAGGAGGGCGCGAAGGCCGTTCAGGTGAGCGCGTCTCTAGTCTTGAAATCCTCATCAAGTTGTATGCATGGTGTGCCAGAGGTAACCGAAATTCCACAATCATTTCCCAACCTGCCCAACCTACAACAATGTTCACTCAGCAACTCACCAGCGCTGTTTGAGGGCCTACACACACCATTCATTATAGTGACACTCAGGATTCGTGGTGCTGCTGGCTCTCTCCAACGCCTATATCGTCCATGTGCCTACAGTGCGCAACCTACCGCTCCCACCCCTCCTGCTCCCTCATCTCCAATCCAAAACCAATCCAACCAACCACCCCCTTCCCCCTGTCCCCCGTTCCCCCTCCCACTTCCTTCTTTTCCCCGTATCCTCCCCCCACCAGACGTACACCCTGGTGGAGTCCTGCTGGGAGCGCTGCAGTGCTGATGACATCTGGTTTGTCATCCTCGCTCTCGTCGACGCGTACATTGTCGACGCGTACATTGTCGACATGCCTGCTCTGCGCAACCTGCTACCCCTCCTGCTCTCTCATCCCCTCAACCACCCCCGTCCCCATCCCACCCTTCCCCTCCCCTCCACTCCCATTGTTACATACCCAAGACGTACACCCTGGTTGAATCCTGCTGGGAGCGTCGCAGTGCAGACGACATTTGGTTTGTCATCCTCGCTCTCGTCAACGCCTACATTGTCGACGTGCCCGCTCTGCGCAACCTGCGGGCGGCAGACTCGTCCTCTCTGCAGTGCATGGTCGGCAACTGCGGGCCCATCATCATCGAGTGTTTCCTGGACGAGCAGTGCCGGACGGCTATCAACTGCCTCAATGAGTGCGGTCCCACGGACCAGGTGCGCAACCTTCCCCCTCCTGTCCCCCACCCCTTGGGATTTTCGAGTGCTTGCTGCATGAGCAGTGCCGGACTGCTATCAACTGCCTCAATGAGTGCGGACCCACGGACCAGGTGAGCACTCTGATGCTGCATTGCATGGAAGGTTGCGAGCGGCAGACTTGTCCGCCATGCAATGCAGTGCATGGTCGGCAACTGTGGACCCGTGATTCTCTCGAGTGTTTCCTGGACGAGCAGTGCCGCACGGCCATCGACTGCCTCAATGAATGCGGTCCCACAGACCAGGTGAGCAACCTTCCCCATCCTGTCCCCCACCCCTTGGGATTCTCGAGTGTTTCCTGGACGAGCAGTGCCGCACAGCCATCAACTGCCTCAAAGTGTGCGGACCCACGGACCAGGTGTGTATGCCAGAAGCACCTTACTTTGTCCGCTCTGCGGTGCATGGTCGGCAACTGCGGGCCCAGCATTCCGGAACGTTGCCTTGCCTGGACGAGCAGTGCCGCACCGCCATCGACTGCCTGAATGAATGCAGGCCCACCCACCCACAGACCAGGTGCGTAGCTATGATTTGTCAGATTTCTTAAAAAATGAATCCAGCATCGTTGCGTCGTGTCCTACGGAACCCCCAACTCTGCGTTCTGCAGCAGAAGCACAGCTGCTGCTGCGGTAGAGCCGGATTTTTACCTCACTTATCTCCTCTCCCTTGCTCGATTCTCCCTGTGCCTGTCCCCACCAGGCATGTAGCTGTCACTGCGTCGTGTCCTATGGAACCCCCAGCTCTGCGGGCTGCTGAAGCACAACTGCCTTGGCATGACAGCCGATACCTTACTCACCTTCCCTTCTCCCGTGCTTTATCCCCCTTCCCAACTCACCTTCCCTTCTCCCGTGCTTGATCCCCCTTGCATCCACCACCACCAGGTGTGCAGTGCAGCTATCGCTGCATTGCCTCCTACAAGACCCCCCAAGTTCGAAGCCTTCTCCCTCTGCGTGCTACAGAATCACAGTCGTCTCGGCATGACAGCCGAAACTTTATGCCGCTTTTTCCCTCACCTTTAGTTAATGTCCCCACCTTTGTCTCCCCCTTCCCGTCCCTGTGGGCATCTCTTTTTTCCCCTCCTTTCACCACCACCAGGTGTGCAGCTATCGCTGCATTGTCTCTTACGAGACCCCCAAGTTTGAAGCCTTCTCCCTCTGCGTCCTGCAGAAGCACAACTGCCTTGGTATGACAGCTGAAATCCGCGACCGCCCCACCGTGCTCCCCCTCACACACCTTCGCGGGCAGCCCGTCACGCACGAGCGGGCAGAAGATATTTTCGTCGGGTGGCTCGGACAGCTGCCCTGGAGCTGGCGGGTCGTGGCCGGGCAGAATGCCGCTTACGACCAGTTCCCGTGCCAGTTTCAGATATTTTACCGAGGCAAGGCGCGAGGCTCGGTGTGGTACGACCCTGTTTTCACGGTACGGTTTCTCATCCTTAGCCGAACCCCGCTTCCAGTCTGTTTCTCATCCTTAGCCGAACCCCGCTTCCAGTCTGTTTCTCATCCTTAGCCGAACCCCGCTTCCAGTCTGTTTCTCATCCTTAGCCGAACCCCGCTTCCAGTCTGTTTCTCATCCTTAGCCGAACCCCGCTTCCAGTCTGTTTCTCATCCTTAGCCGAACCCCGCTTCCAGTCTGTTTCTCCATACCATTCCTCCAACCCCCCATCCATGCCCACCCCCACCCCCACGTTCCTCCTCAGCCCCACCTTTGCACCCATCTCCACTCTATTCTTCCCCTCCTGCCATTGCACCCTTTGGCCATCCCTCTCCACACTCATTCCTCCTCACGCCCACTGCACCTGTTCCCTATCATTCTTCCCACACAAACACACGAACATCCATCCAATGCGAGATATGAGGTGAGAAAAATTTCGAGGCGAGCAGGATATGAGGCGAGATATCCTTACAGATTCGCGCCCTCAGTGGTCAATCCCTATGGTGTGTGGCGTCACAACAGCATGCACTACAAACACATGCACACTTCTCCCATACTCTGCCCTTCCCTTACCTCTCCACTCCTCACCCCACCCATGCAGAGATGCAGCCCTAATGGACGGCCCGGCCACTATGGCGCCTGCGTTACTACCACCACGTGCACCACACACGAGTACCCTTCTCCTGTACTCCCATCACCTCCTTTCCTCCCCTTACTCCTCTCCTCGCCCCTCGTCCATGCAGATCAACACTCTTGATGGACGGTCGCTATGGTGCCACCACCATCACCACATGTACCGCACACGAGTACCCTTCTCCCATACTCCCTCGCCTCCCTTCCTTGCCTCACCCATGCAAATCAACACTCAGGATGGATGGTCGCTATGCGGTACACGAGAGTACCCTTCTCCCATACTCTCCCCTCCCCACACTCCTCTCACCCATGCAGATCCGCACGCTTGATGGACGGTCACTATGGCGCCGCCGCCAATCCCTCATGGACCACCAATCCCACATGGACCGCGTGCAGCACACATGAGTACCCTCCATTCCCCTCACATAGTCTCTCCATTCCCCTCCCCACACTCCTCTCCCCATCTCACCCACCCAGATCAACACTCTTGATGGACGGTCGCTATGGCGCCGCCGCCACTACCGCGTGCGACGCGGGAAGGTTCCCGGAACCTTCACCTTCACAGTGCTCGACAACGGGGTAATCTCGGAGGAATTCTGGCGAATCGTGGACGTAACAGACGATTTCCAATGGGCGCTCTTTTACTACAGTGGCGCCGCACGGGCGGCAGGGCAGTCGTACACCGGGGCTGTGCTTGTGTCCAAGGATGGAGAGTGGCCCGGACCTGAGCATGCGGTTCGGCTCAAGGCTGCACTGGATCGGTGCGGGATCAAGGAGTGGGAGCTGTACCGGGTTGATAACTCGTGCTGTGAGAATGCGCCCTTGGGATTGCCGGATGATGCTCCTGCTCCTGTTTCAATAGCATAAAACATGAGTATATGTTGGTTGGGACGCTATCTGCTTCTGAATGTTCCAAATTTTCATAAGTTTTTTCCCATGTTTTTTTCAAAATGATTCTACAGCGCGGTTGCTTGAAACCGGATGTTACGGGTGCAATGAATCGAAGTAGCGAGAATTGCACTAAGGTGTCAAACGAGTACAAAATGTGAGCGAAGGCATGAGCGAACATTTATATGCGAAACATGCAAACGATAACGCGGTGCGTGCGAGCTAGCTAGTGCTACGCTGGAGCGAGGCTCGGGCTAGTCCCGAAGCGTAGGCCGACACGGCCAGGCCAGCAGTGCGAGGTTTGGTGAAACAGTGCGCGCGAAGTCGGCGAAGCCCCGTTAGCAGTAACGGGCGAACAACGGCTGTTGCTGTACGCGATGTAGTCGGGCTCCGTAAGGAATGCCGAGAAAATTCCTTACACTACCCCCCCCCCTCAAGAAGCCCCCTCCGCTACGCGAGTGCGTGTATATCGCGGAATCCCCGGCTCCTCAGGTACACTTGCAGGGCAGGGTGGTTTTCGATGTTGGCCAGGGGCACCCAGCTGTCCTCAGTTGGCGTGCGATCCTTCCAGCGAACGAGGAATTCAATCCTCTTGATTCCCGTGGGGTGTCGAATCCGATGGCTCAGGATTTTTTCGGGCTCGATGATCGGCTCCGATGCAGGGCGAGTCATGGATGGCGGGCGGTGGCGAGGCAGTTGGCTTGTGGTTGGGATGTAGGGGCGAAGCAAGCTGACGTGGAACGAAGGGCTGATGTACCAGTCGGTCGGTAACAGTAGGTGCGCGGTTACTGGCGTGATCATGTGGCTGATTTGGAATGGGCCACAGTAGCGCGGTCGAAGTTTTGGTACGTCGGGCAGTCGCAGATTTTGCGTGTCGAGCAGTACGTAATCCCCTGACTGGTATGTGACTGGGCAGCGGTGGCGGTCAGCGTTGCGCTTAGCGATGACGTTCGCTTTTTTAATTGCTTCTGCGGCTCTGGTGCGGGCAGCTTGCAGAGTTTCGGCGAATTGCTGTGCACGTGGTGTTGGGTTGTCCGGACTCGGCGTCATGGGCACTGTAGGGTTTTGCCCGTAGTTCAGGTAGAAGGGGGACTGCTGCGTCGTCGCTGACGTGGCATTATTGTACGCGAACTCGATCAGCGGCAGCTGCTGCTCCCAGGTCGTGGGGTCGTCGCACGTGGCACGAATCAACTGCTCCACCGTCTGATTCGTCCGCTCCGTTTGGCCGTCGGTCTCGGGGTGGTACGACGAACTGAACTGTAGCCTGGTCCCGAACTGCTCCCAAAGATTTTTCCGGAAGTTGCTGGTGAACTTCGTGTCCCTGTCGCTGATAATCGCTGCTGGTATCCCGTGCAGGCGAACAACGGCTGCGATGAACAGGCGAGCGGTCTCCTCGGCTGAGATCGACTTCTTGCACGCAGCGAAGTGTGCCATCTTCGTCAACCTGTCAACGACGACCATCACCGCATCGTTACCCCCAGGGTTCGAAGGTAACCCTGTGACGAAGTCCATGGTAACCTGCTGCCAGGCGCGCTCGGGCGGTGGTATCGGCTGCAATCGACCCGCCTTCCGCTTCCGTGAGCTCTTCATCACCTGACACGTGGGGCACGGGCCGACGTGCTGCTGCACGTCGGTCAACAGCTCCGGCCAGTAGTAATACCGCTGCAGTTGCTGTCGCGTTTTTTCTACCCCAAAATGTCCCGAGGTAATTCAGTCGTGTGCCTCCTGCAGTAGTAGCTCCCTCAGTAGTGAGTACGCGGGTACCCAGATGCGGTTGGTGCCTGTTTTTACGTAATAAACTCCTTTAGCTTCTGCCAGTTGCTGTGAATTTCCAGTCGTGAAAAACGGGTCGGTGCGGTATCCGTGGGTGAATAGGCCTGTTAAAAGCGGGTTGGTTTGGGCGAGTAGGATGGCATGGAGTTGGGCGGTAGGGCGAGTGAGTGCGTCGGCGATGTTGGAGGCGCCTTTCTTGTACGTAACCGTGTAGTGGAAGTTGGACTCGAGGTAGTCCAACCAGCGGATCTGTCGCGGATTGAGATTTGGTTGGGCGCGTAGGTACTCTAGTGATCGGTGGTCTGTCCGTACTGTCACGTCGGCGCCTGTCAGGTAACACCGCCAAACCTTGAACGCGTGCACGATCGCCAATATTTCGCGGTCGTGTATCGGGTAGTTGCGTTCGGGCGGGTGCAGCTTGCGGGACTCGTACGCGATTGGCTGGAGGCCGTTCCCGAAATCATGCAACAGTACTGCTCCCATTGCGATGTCACTTGCGTCAGTGACGAGCTCGAACGGACGGTGTGAATCTGCGATGTGAAGCACGGGCGGTGAGCACAAAATGTTTTTGAGGGCCGAGAAGGCAGCTTGCTCTTTCTCCCCCCACGTGTACTCAACCCCCTTCCTCAGCAGGTCTGTCAGCGGGGCAGTCAGCTTCGCCATGTCGGGGACGAACCGGCGCACGTAGTTGATGAACCCCAAAAAACTCTGCAACTAGGTCAAGTTGGTCGGCGCGTGCCATGCTTGAATCGTCGCGATTTTCTTCGGGTCTATTTCCACTCCTGCAACTGAAATAACGTGTCCCAAAAATTCCAGGCGATCCTGTAAAAACTCACACTTAGACGCTTTTGTCGGTAGGCGGTTCTCACTCTGTATTTTAAAAACGGCTTCGATGTCCTGTAAGTGCTGTGCTCTGTCAGGGCTGTAGATCAGTATGTCGTCCAGGTATACGATGACGCACTTATCTAAGAGCGGGCGGAAAGCTTCGTTCATGGTCATTTGAAAAGTGGCGGGGGCGCTGGTCAGTCCGAAGGGCATGACGGTGTATTCGAAGGATCCGTAGCGTATTCGAAATGCGGTCTTAGGGCAGTCGGGCGGATTGACGCGAATCTGGTGGTAACCCCCTCGGAGGTCGATTTTCGAGAAAACCCGGGCTGTGCGCAGTTGGTCGATCAGTTCATCGGCTCGCGGGATGGGGTAACGGGATTTGATGGTAACCCTGTTCAGTGCTCTGTAATCTATGCACATGCGAAATCCCCCGTCTTTTTTCGGCGTGAACAGTATCGGTGCTGCGAAGGGCGACGAACTAGGGCGAATGAATTCCTTCTCGAGCAGGTAATCGAGCTGCTTCCTCAGTTCGTCCAGTTCGGGCTGGGTCAGTCGGAACTGTCGCTGTACTGTTGGCTGTGCCCCCGGTTCTAACTCTATCCTGTGGTCGTGCGGTCGCTGAGGTGGCAGTCCCGTCGGTAAATCGTCCGGGAAAATGTCGCTGTACTGCTTCAACAGTGCTGCCAGGTCACTCGGTACGTCGGCCAGCAGTTTCTGTAAATCCCCTCCTTTGTCTGCTGCCTCGGCTTCCCGAATGTCGACCGCGTACACGTCAGCTCCTGCCGCTACGGCGCGTTTCATCGTGATCGCGTTGACACGCACCAACGAAGACTCATGTGAGCCCCAGCGAGGTAAGGCGATCTTGTTACAGTTCACTCGCACGGTGCAGTCACCCGTCGTCCAGTCGATTCGCGGATTGTGTCTTCGCAACCAATCACGCCCGAGTAAAACATCGGTTCCGTCGAGGGTCGTTGCGAGCATTTCCTGGCTAAACGTGAAGTTACCCCCACATCGAATCCGAACTCGGTCTACGCGTTCCCGTATTGCCAGCGGCGTGCCGTCTACCAGTCTTGCGTCGATCTCAGGTAAGCATCTGTCCAGTGGCAGTCGCAGTTTTCGTGCTGAGGCAGTGTTGATGAGGCCGTGGCTGGCTCCCCCGTCTACGAAGATTTTAACTAAGTCCGTCCCGATTTTCCCACAAAGCAGTATGGGGCTGTCTACCGTAGTCCCCTCCTTATTCGGCCGAGTGTGGTCGATTGCGTGAACCGGCACAATCACTCGGTGAGGGTCGGTTGGGTCGGGCGAGCGGCGTGACCTGTCAGTAGAGGGCCCGTCTGCTACTGACTCCCAGCGTTTCCCTGCTGCTTGGTCTGTTTCTGCTGCTCAGCTTCCCCCTTTCCCTTAGCGTTTTCCGGGCATTCGCTCTTGCGATGTCCCGGCCGATTGCACGCAAAGCAGCGCCCTTTGAACGGTGCGGCAGCGGCATTTGCGGCGACGGCACGTATCGTGGCGCCCTCGTTCGTTCCACGAGGCCAATGTCCCCAATGGCTGCTTCCGTAGGACCCCGGTCTCGGTCGGCGGAAGAAGTCAAGTTTCTCCGCCATAGCGAGAATTTCTTGAAAGTCGGTGACGCCGCGAAGCTGGATTTCCTGAGCGATGTCCTGCTTCAGGCCGCCGATGTAGCGGTCGATGCGCTCGCTCTCGTGCATATATCCCACCTGCTCGCATAGCGCCAGAAATCCGCTCGTGTAATCTTGGACGGAACCGAGTTGGCGCCAAGTGCGGAGCTTCTGTCGCGCCGCGATCGAAGTCGCGATTGGCTCGAAACGAGCGCGCAGACCTGCGCACCACGCGTCCCACGTGCGATACTGGGGCACCTCCACGAAATACGACGGCGCCCAGGGTCCGGTTTGTCCTTCCCTTGTCGGTAGAGTTGCGTAGTCCGCCGGCTTCGTGACGATGACGCGCCACCAGTCCATGGCGGGTCCTCGCAGCAACGACACGGCGTAACGAATCTTCGCCGTATCCTCCGAGACGTAGTTCGCGTCGAAGAAAACATTCAACGTGAAGAGCCACGCCTGAACGGTAGGACCACCCCGCTGACTTGGGTCAAAGCATGGCGGACGCTGCGGCTTTAGCGGCATCGGCGACGGAAGAGTTGATCCGCCGGCCGGCACTGAAATCGTGACTTGAGGCTGAGTCCTGGCCGCATTCGTCGTGTCGGGGTGTGTCGTGCCGTGGTCGTCGTCTTCGTCATGGCGGACGACGCCATCACTTGCGGCGCTCGCGGGTTGCCCCACACTTCCGTGCTGTGATGTTTGTGGTGCGGGCTGAATCGGAGTGCCAGGTGCTTGGGATTGTGCTCGTGTGAGGTCGTT